TTTTAAAAAACCAATTAAAAAGGTAAAAGCCACAAAACAGACACTAGGCTGCTGGCTCATGGGTTGTAAAGTTGCTGACCCCTGATCTAGAGTTTCAAGTTTTTTTCTACAATTTTTCGTATAAACCCAAAACAGAATCATAACTTTAAAACATCCTATTAAAAATACATTCTAGGGGCGCCTGGCTGGCTCTGTCGGTTAAGCATCCAACTCTTGATTTCAGCTCAGGTCATGATCTCAGGGTTATGTGATTGAGCCCCATGCTGGGCTCCACTCTGAGTGTGGTGGAGCCTTAAGATTCCCCCTCTCTCCTTCTCCCCCTCCCATGCTTGCAGGCATGATCACTCTTAAATCTATCATCTATCTATCTATCTATCTATCTATGTATATATATGTATATGTAGATATATATATATGTGTGTATATGTAGATATATATGTATATTCTAAAAGAGCCCATGGGTTAAAAAGTAGAAATCACAGGGGCACCTGGGTGGCTCAGTTGGTTAAACGACTGCCTTCAGCTCAGGTCATGAACCCAGGGTCCCGGGATCGAGCCCCGCATTGGGCTCCCTGTGGGAAGCCTGTTTCTCCCTCTCCCACTCCCCCTGCTTGTGTTCCCTCTCTGTCTCTGTCAAATAAATAAATGAAATCTTAAAAAAAAAAAAAATTAAAGTAGAAATCACAGTGGAAACTTGAAAATATTTTGAACTTAATGAAAAGAAAAATACCATGTTATCAAAACTGTGGGAAACAGCTAAAGCTATGCTCAGAAGAAACTGACAGCCTTCAATGCATCTACTGGAAAAGGAGAAAGGCTGCGGGTCTGGGTGACTCAGGAGAGCATGCAACTCTTGATTTGGGGTCGTGAGTTTGAGCCCCAGATTGGATGTAGAGTTTACTTTAAAAAAAAAAAAAAAAGGCTGAAAATCAGTGAACTACACATCCATTTCAAGGAATTAGAAAAATAACAGCAAATTAAGCCCAAAGAATAAAGCAGGAAGCCAATAATTAAGGTAAGGGTATCATTCATGAAAAGGAGACAACATGCCACATGAACTACATAACTAAATGTGAAAGGCAAAACTTCTGGAAAACAATATAGCAGCATATCTTCATGTGCTTGGGTAAATGAAAATTTCATAAAATCCAACATTTAAAAAAAGTACTAACTATAAAAATATAAAAGACTGATAAAGTGGACTAAAGTAAAATTAAGCATTTCTGTCCATAGACATCATTTATAGTGAGAAAGCAAGCCAGACGGGGAGAAAATATTTGTAACACAACTCACACTGGGACTGTATTGTATCCAGAACATGTAACTGCTCCTACAAGTCAACAAGAAATGGACACTTCCACAAAAGATACCCCAATGGCCAATAAACACGAAAAGGTGTTCAATCTCCTATTAGAGCAGTGTGATCAAATCACATGATAATACTGCACACACACCCACCCAAATGGTTAAATGGAAATGACTGACACTAAATGTTGGTGAGGACATGGTCAACAGGAACTAGTTAGTACACTTGTGCTGGGAGAGTAAACTGGTACACTCACGCTAGAAAACTCCATGTGGCCTCTATAACCTAGCAACTCCACTCCTAAGTACATGCCAACTAAATGCAGGCACATGTAATCAAGACACATCTACAGAAAATCTTCATATTAGCATTACTTGTGATAACTGAAAACCTGGCAACCACCTCAAAGGTCCGTCAACCACAGAATGGATAAATAAATCCTGGTATGGTCATATGCTAGACTATTATACAGAAATGAGAACAAATGAATTAGAGCGGCATGCAACACCATGAAAGAATGTCAGAAACATAACAAATATGCTCCGCAAAAGCAGACAGACACAAAAGAATCTAGTTCTATTCGTATGACAAAAACAGGCAAAACCACACAAGCGTGTTAGAAGTCTAGATAGTAGTTACTTTTGGCAAAGAGCGTCATGACCAGTAGGGAGTGCCGCCCCCTCCCCCCCACCCGGGGGATCTTGTGAGTCCTAGCAATATTCTAACTCTGGATCTGGTTAGTGGTGATGCACGTGTTTGCTTTTTAACAATATACAATATATGTAACAGCAACAATTTATGTTTTGTGCCTCTTTCTGTAATATTTACATAAACAGTTAACAAAATCTTCGGAATGCCATTCTCATGTCCCTCTCACATTCCCCAAAATATAATTTCAAATTGTATCTTCTCAAATTAATGGTAGAATTAAGTTTTTCTAGTTAGTATACATAACTACATGCAAAGATGATATATTTACTTAGTACCAGGTTTTTTCTTCATGAAATAAAACATTCTCAGAATAAAATAAACAAAGCATACTGCAAACTTGGGAGATCAGCTATAATTTCCAAATACATGAAATAAATGTGTGATTGTTGGTAAAGACTATCATTGTAACATAAATACCTTAAGAATTTGGAACCATAGTTTTTAATAGTTTTTTGGTGATTAAATTTTTTTTTTACCATCTTAAAACAGTAGATGTGAAATTAGGTCCCTAGGGAAAAATCCCCATGTCTCATTATAGTAAATTAATGACATGTTACCTCTTAAGTTTTACTTTGTAAAACAGTAAACTCTTAAAAACATCATCTTAGAATATTTAAATAGTGCAACTTACCTGAACTTAACGAAGTATACTTTGAAACAGACACAGAACTTTAAGACTGCATCATGATGGCTCCAGAAATCTCTCAGTGGCTTAAAAAAACAATCACCAGAACTTTAAAATCAAAACTTTCTGCTATGACGTAATCTCATTTGCTGTAAGCAATCTTGAACTCTGCAGTTGGGAGCTCAAATACACTACTGCTGGAACTGCTCAGTGATTTATTCCAATGGCATCGTTGTTATTAAACCCTCATAAATCAGTTTAGGACCTTTTTTTATGAGGGTTTAATAACAACGATGCCATTGGAATAAATCACTGAGCAGTTCCTAAACTGATTTTTTTTTTTAAAAAGATTTTATTCATTTATTTGAGAGAGAGAGAATGAGAAAGAGAGCACATGAGAGGGGGGAGGGTCCGAGGGAAAAGCAGACTCCCTGCCGAGCAGGGAGCCCGATGCGGGACTCGATCCAGGGAGTCCAGGATCATGACCTGAGCCGAAGGCAGTCGCTTAACCAACTGAGCCACCCAGGCGCCCCCCTAAACTGATGTTTTAAAAGCAAGTTTTAAAAAGGGTATTTCTTGGGGCACCTGGGTGGCTCAGTCGTTGGGCGTTTGCCTTCGGCTCAGGTCATGATCCCAGGGTCCTGGGATCGAGCCCCGCGTCGGGCTCCCTGCTCTGCGGGAAGCCTGCTTCTCCCTCTCCCACTCCCCCAGCTTGTGTTCCTGCTCTCGCTGTCAAATAAATTAAATCTTTTCTAAAATAAATAAATAAATAAATAAAATTCCATGAGGCTTTAAGAGTGTCCAATGCAGCATTATAGCAATTTTACAGAACAAATTAGATGATGTGGTTTGAAGAGATAATGACCAACAATGTAATTATAAGCAAACTCTTTCCCACATAAATGTCATACTTTCAAAGATATAAATAGCTAATACCTTCTCCTCCTTCCAACTTCATTCTAATTCTTAGGCTTGTAAAAGCACATAAAAGTTATTATTCTAATTTTTAAAATGGGAACAATAAAATGCAGTTGACACTTAATTTATGGGAAAAAAAAGAAAATGCATTTGAGAGATGGGTACAGGATCAAACTCAGTTATCTTTAATCCTTTCATTTCTTTCTTCACTATGTCAAGCTAATTCTTCAGGCCTAAAACATGTAACAGACTGGGAAATTAAAAAAAGATGTTGATTTTTAAGTTTATTACTAATTTATTCATGGAAATAAAGTAGCCATTACCATTAGGAACATTTTTTAGGATGGTATACAATCACGTATAGGTTAAGATTTTGGCTTTTAAGATATTAAACATTTTATGAATGTAATTAAAATAAATTCAACTTGTGTCTCCAACTTTCTATTGGTCATAATACTTTTCATAGTGTGCAGTATTTGAATCTGAAGATGAGAAGCACACAAGCATCACAATGACCTCTTTTTAAAGTTGTCTAGATATCCATTTTGGACATTGGGTTAATGGTTTGAAAACAACTGCATTACACTACATTTGTAAGCAAAACAGAAAAATTTTATTTGGAGAATGCAGCTTTTTAATGGAAATTGAAAAAAAAGTAGGGAAAGTGTGAGATAACAGTTATCCCTTAGGAAATAATCTTAATAGTTCAAAATCTTTCATAAAATCTTATTAAAATTTAGGAGGCAGCATTAGTTTAACATTTGACAGATCTGAGAATAATTCTCAGTAAGAATCTTGCCTAATAATATTAGATCTTGGATTAGTATAATTTCTAGTTGCAGATGTAAATCTTCAAAGAATGTATGTATTAGGTCCAAGTGAACCAAATATATAACAGTGCTAGATGATTCTTTACCTTTTTATAAGTTCTTGAAAATGAAAATAGTATACTTATGATTCCTTCGTAAAAGTGTCCCTAAACCATAACAACTTCAAAGTACCTTGACTTTTATCAGAGAATAGCATATTCAACTCCTAACCTTCTATTTTTACTTATCATATAGGAATAATAATGACAACAGAATTATAAATTCTGCCTTGAAAAGATGAATATTGTTGCTCTTCCCAACGTTTACTTCAAGTTGAATCCCTGATATCAGCAATACTTAACCTCCCTTGTCAAAGCAGTAAAAATTAAAGGCATTAAATTAGTATCTAAAATCAAAGTATAGCTTTATCTATAAAATTTTGTGTTGTATCTGGACATAGGACAGCAAAGGCCATATAAAATATATTCAGAGACCAATGTCATTATGAATGTAAAAGGTTTTAAAGGTTTCATATATACATATATTTTTCCCTAACAACTTAAAACCCAATTTTTAAAAACTGGCTTACAATATCAGGCAGGTGTCCAAATGCTGAGTTTTAAATTCAGCATTATCTTAACTCTTTGTAAAGATAAGTTGTTATACAAACATTAAAAGTGCAATAAGCTAAAAACACAAAACAAGACACCCTTGGTTTAGTATAACTACAATTAATAAATAAAGCAGAGCACTAAATGATCTAAGAACCTGGTCACCAGAACACAGCATCAAATAACAATCAACAAACATTACAGCATAAAGAAAGCAGCGAAAAATCTCAGCCAGGTTGTGGTCATGTGAATTTTTTTTCACACCATTGTTCCCACACTTCACAGGCCCTATCCTAGACAAAAATCCATCAATACCAACTTAATACCAAGAAATTCTGAACTGATAGTTTAGCAAAATGCAGTCTGGCTTACTGCCCAAGGTGGTTAAGAAAAATAAGTTCAGGAAAACATGCTACAAAGCTTGCGCTAACTTGGAAAAATAAACAACAAATATTATTGTGGCTACAGATCCAGAATTTGTTTTAAAAAAAAGATTTGGCATTTAAAATGGAAACTTTCCAGTACATTCCAAAGGTATACTGAAAAGGCCAGTAATGAAACAATGATGACCAAGACAGCAGAAGCACCCACAACTGAGATACACTTTGTTCTATGAAATGAGAGCCCACAGGTTGACAGAAAAATATTCTAATTTCAAAAGTCAACTACATGACACCCTATTTGCCATTACTAATTCCATTAAGATTACTAGGATTTCAAAAGTGGCATTGTAAAAAATGGTACTTCCAGGATTCAACCCAAAAGCCCAAACCAAACAATACAAGAATATTACATGACATTTAAAGGAGCCTCAACAAATGTGTGATATTTCTCCTTTACCATTTATATTTTAGTTTTCTTTCTCAGCTCTTAAAAACTGTAGTTGGAATTTCTAAAGCTTCAATACCATGCACTTCTTATCTTCTCTCTCAATACAGCAAACACTAAACATAACACAACTTGTCAACAGTATCACTTAAAACACTGTTCAGACACAACTGAGGATCTGCTTCTTGGCTCCTCAAACTGGTGGTGCTATTTTGCTCAACAACTATTTGCTTATGGTCATATCTGGTCCTTGGACAACCTATTCACAATGTAGTGGACTGTAGCTCTAAAGTCTACCTCATTTTTCAGAATCATCAGTGGTATTTCACCTCAATGTGTAAGAATATGGAAGAGGGCCTTCCAAGTTGAACTTCCTAATACTCACAGTTTGAAATGGTCTGGAATGGTTGATCACATTTTTCAGATCTAACTCAGCACACTTATACAGAGGTAGTAGATGCCTTTGGTGAATCACAAGGACTGCCCTAGCACAAGCTTCTCTCAATCTGCTCACCAAATCTAAATCAGCTCCCCCAATGAAAACAAGTTCAAGTTCTGTTTCATAATAAGAAAGTGTACAATCAAGTCTTACAATCAAATTATGAATTATACCATCTAAATTCTGGAGCAAAGAGAAAAAGTCAAATTTAGGAGCTATGCTCATGGTTTAAAGCTTCTAAAAAACCACATAAAACAAGAACAGTATCGTTAACATCTTGGGTCCAATGTGCTATAGCAATATTATCACAACTGTTTCATCAGTATAAGAGCTGAATCAATTTCTATGTTGAGAAAATATACATGCATACTACCATTTCTCTATCAAATACATATACATCTCATAGAAACACATCCTTATAGGAAACACTGATTTTACACTGTCTTTTTGAGAACAATTTTGCATTGAATTACAATAAAATTACAACTCGTTGTAGATCTTAAATTAGAGATGTTTACACAGAGAATTGTAGTAATGTACAAGAGCACTTCAATAAGAACTGGATGAACAATGCTTAAAGCAAAAAGTTTTTATAACCAAGCTGTACGAACATTAGGGGGCTTAGGTCTTAGCAACAGGCCACCTGACGTGTCAAAAACTGGTCGCTCACTCTTACAACTGAGACCACTGAGACCACTGGTAGCACTGGAGGTTCTAGAAGCTCCTCCTGAAAATATATGAAGAAAAAAAATAATTTTATTTAAACTAAATAGATACATCATCACCTGATAAACTTCCTCTCCTAATTTAAAGTCCAGAATAATTTTTTCTTCCCTATCTCACATGCATTTTTATTAGTCTAATATAATTCTCAAACAGGAATGCACTTCAGAATTCCCTGTGGAAATTAAACATGTATTAATAAACATGCCCAGACTCTACACTAGGGGATTCTGATTCAATAGATTTGGGATGGGAATTAAGGTTTTAAAAAGCTGCTAAATTGATTCAAGTGAAAAAAACAAAAAAAAACTTTGTGTAACCATTTATGAATTTATTCAACAAATAATTTACCACATTCAAGGCACAATGCTAAGTATGAACTACTGGAACAAGAACCTACCCTGGTCACTAATTATACCAAGGAAGTGATGCTTGAAGAATGAAATGAATGAATGGAATTACTAGTCATGTGAGTGTTTAAGACTCACATGAGCACTGGGGAGTTGGGACATTTTATGTGGGTCCAACGTTCTTCTAATATTGGCTTCTCTTTTTTATAGTTTAGAACGCATCCGTGAAATAACAGCACAGACTTCTGTACATGAGAATGTCCAGCCTTTCTGTGTGTCACATACCCTAGCGCACTACGTGGTCACTGCATGCTACATTCTCTGGGATATACCATGAGCTGGGTGTGTGCGGATCACAGATCAACCATCAGGAGGGATTATATCTGATGACTCTACAGACTAATTCCTGTTTTAGATATCCAGTGAGGAAGACAAAGTACATATAAGGGCTGGAAGATATTAACAATAGTTCTTAACTGGTTAGGGGGAATGTTTCAGCAGCTTTTAAACAGCGTTATCTACTCATTTCTTCCTTTAATAAATGTAATGAAATTAAGTCTTTCCATTATCGAAGACACTACTGATATTTTCAACTGTTTTTATAGGTTTCTTTCCTATGCTGCCATTACATGCTGTGAGTGAAGCCTGAAATTAAGTGAACTAACAAAAGACAAAACATTCCAGTGAAAAATAACAGTGCACTCCAGAAGTCAGCTATTTTAAACTCTATCCAATAACACGTTATATATATATATATATATATATTTTTTTTTTTTTTTTTTTTAAGATTTTATTTATTTGAGAGAGAGAATGAGAGAGAGAGAACACATGAGAGGGGAAAGGGTCAGAGGACGAAGCAGACTCCCTGCCAAGCAGGGAGCCCGATGCGGGACTCAATCCAGGGACTCCAGGATCATGACCTGAGCCGAAGGCAGTCGCTTAACCGACTGAGCCACCCAGGCGCCCCGCACGTTATATTTTTAAAAAAGGATGAAATACACAAACATAAATACAAAATAATTCTGAATATGCTTACTTAATGGGCTATACTGGCCAAGAGTTGATCTCACTCGTCTTGAGGACGGTGATGAGCTGAGATAACCCATATTGCGATGATAGTCCATCAGTTGGTCAGAGCGTTTCATACCAACTGTTGGTTTCACAGCTTCAAGCCTTTTCAATAAAGCCTTCATTTAAAGACAATCAGTTTGAAAGTCAATGTTAGGTAAGTATCAATAAACAGTAAGTTATAGTAATAACTTAGCAAAATAACAGCAATAAGTTTTTAAAAAGGCAAATACTTTTTAAAAACTTTTATTTTAATTCCAGTATAGTTAACACAGTGTTATATTAGTTTCAGGTGTACAATACAGTGATTCACCAATTTTATACATTATTCATGTGCTCATCATGATAAATGTACTCTTAATCCCCATCTCCTATTTCATCCATCCCCCCAGCCCCCACTCTGGTAACCATCAGTTTGTTCTGTATAGTTAAGGGTCTGCTTTTTTGCTTGTCTCTCTTTTTGTCCTTTGTTTTGTTTCTTAAATTCCACGTATCAGTGAAATCATATGGTATTTGTCTTTCTGACTTATTTCATTTAGCATTATACTCTCTAGATCCATCCATGTTGCAAATGGCAAGGTTTCATTCTTTTTAATGGCTGAATAATATTCCATTGTATATATACCACATCTTTTTTGTCCATTTATCTCTCAGTGGACACTTGGACCACTTCCATAGTCTGGCTATTGTAAATAATGCTGTGATAAACATAGGGGTACAGATATTCCTTCAAATTAGTGTTAAATAGGAAAATACTTGATAGATCCTTATATTACAGATTTTAAATCACTTTTGAGATACTATATGAAAAAAATATACTTTCAGAAAAATCTAAGGGTCCACCTATCTTGTAAAACCACTATGATTTTAAAACCTGATCACAGGCACATCTCTCTTTTACGTCAGCTTACAGTCTTAGGAAAGGTGCTATAAGCTGAAATTCCTAAACCACAGAACGGACATAATGGGAGTAATATAATGCTAAAAGCCCAGTGTGTTCAACCCTAGAAATCACCATAAACCTATCTAAACTACTATAAATTCGTATATGATTACAGAGCCCTGGCTTTCAAGCTGTTTACTTTCCATTTGGGCCCTAACATAGGACACTGAGGAGAGGCCAAGTGCCCAGGGCTCTCAGGTCCCCCACTCCCACTATCGGCCCCTCCATGCTTTCCATGTCACCTGTTTTATATACTTTATATACTAAAGATTCCGCATCAAATTTAGTTTGGAAGAAAAAGCTTTTACTGGTAAGAAGTTTGAAAATCAACTACTCTTGAATGTAAAACTTTTTTTTTTTTAAAGATTTTATTTATTTATTTGACAGAGAAAGACACAGCAAGAGAGGGAACACAGCAGGAGGAGTGGGAGAGGGAGAAGCAGGCTCCCCGCTGAGCAGGGAGCCCGAGGTGGGGCTCGATCCCAGGACCCTGAGATTATGACCTGAGCCGAATGCAGATGCTTAATGACTGAGCCACCCAGGCGCCCTAGAATGTAAAACTTTTAAAAGGATATATAAACCAACTAGCCAAGGCAACATAACATCCAGTAACATGGTATTTTAATATGATTCAGTAACAGAATCTAATGAGTAACATTCCAAATTTATTTTCTTTCCTCACATATGAAGGTGGAAAGTTTCTTTTGCTTGATTTTGACAGGCATTGTTGAGAAAGGAATATTTAAGCAGACCAAACAGATCAAGGAACTGATCTATGGTTGTTTTATTATCTCTTTATTGAGTTAAACTATCTCTGTAGCAAGGCGATCTTCATTTAAAAAGAGAATGTTGTTCAGCACTCGGATTCTCGTTAAAAAAACAGCCTCGTGAGTTCAGTCACAGGACAAATTTTCTCGCGCAATCTGTTTTTTCCTTCTGCCTCAACTGAGGGTTTTTTTGTGGCAAAATATACATAAAATTTACCATTTTAACCATTTAAAAACATACAGTTCAGTGGCATTTAGTATACTCATGTCATAATGAACCATGGCCACCAATCATCTCCAAAACTTTTTCTCAACTTCGTGTTTGCTCTTACAGTCTCACCCCCGCCCTTCTATTCGATTTGGTGTTCTGAGTAATTCCAGAGAAGTGTGAGATCGTGGTAGAACAAGTCAAAATATTCCGGAGGACAGCTGTTTAGAGAAAGGAGAAGGAAGGTCTTAACAGAAATGAACTGAGCCTGGAGACAAATGGCAGAGGTACAGAGCACAGGAAGCAGTAAACTGACCAACAGAGAGCTCAGCCTGCCAGCTTTTTTTTTTTTTGTGCATGAAATGGCCTTTCTCAGTTTTTAGTCTTCCAAGGCTAGAACAGACGTTAACTCCCTCAGGAAGTCAGACCCAACTAGCGTTAGTGGTTTTCTTTGCTGAGCTGACAGTTACGATTTAAACACGGCTGCAGGGGTGCCTGGGTGGCTCAGACAGTTAAGCGCGACCCAGGGTCCTGGGATCGAGCCCCACGCTCAGGGAGCCTACTTCTCCCTCTCCCCTGCTTGTGTGCCCTCAAATAAATATAATCTTAAAAAAAAAAATAAAATAAACACGCTTCCATCTGTAAAGTCCATGGTCTTGCCACATCATAGCATGCTGTCCTTCTCTCGTTGCACACAGAGAAGCTGTATAATTTAGGGGCAAAACCTCCTAAGATTATATACCTTTTCAACCTACAGTTTGTAATTGCTCTGAGCTCTGTAAGACACTGGAAGGGATATTAAGAAAAAAATATAAAATACTGCCTTGTAAAGTAATTTATAGTTTGGGAAGAGAACACTACTGCGAGACATTTACAACTAGCTAAGAAACCTCCTATGCACCACACTGTCAGTGCATTCTACTGGGCAGAGCCACACTGGCTGTGCTGATTATCCTATTAACTACTCCCTGAGCTGTGGACGGTAGGATGGAGAGGACGGAAAACTTGGTATGTGCAGTTAAACTACTAATTTTGATTTTTTGCTGGTAGAAGCCTCATTATTTTTTAGATAAACTAATTTCCTAAATTTACTTGGCTAGATTTTTTTTTTTAATTTTAAGAAAACTGTAATGCGCATTCATCAGATGTAAAACATATAAAGTCATTAAGATCAAAATCAGTTTTGAAATAAGTTGACAATAAGGCAAAGAATAAACCCATTCTGTTGGCCTGATATGTCACTTACCAAGTTTATATGCAGAAACTTCGGGAAATTGCTATCCAAACCACATGGAACATATCATATATGAGTTTGTATGTCTCATAAGAATATAACAAGCTAAGCAAAACCTAAGGGTTATCAAATAGAAATAGCTCTTGCTTATAGAGACTATCAAAATATGGAGTATTGATTACAGTCTAAATCCTAAAATCAAAAGTAGATACATTTTAATCTAGTCAACTGTTTAGAACTTCTGGGTACAACTTTAACAATGACAGTTTAAAATTTTTTTTTTTTTTTTTAAAGATTTTATTTATTTATTTGACAGATACACAGCGAGAGAGGGAACACAAGCAGGGGGAGTGGGAGAGGGAGAAGCAGGCTTCCCACAGAACAGGGAGCCCGATGCGGGGCTCGATCCCAGGACCCTGGGATCATGACCTGAGCCGAAGGCAGACACTTAACGACTGAGCCACCCAGGCGCCCCGACAGTTTAAAATATTTTAACATTTGTATTAGTGACCAGAAATATAAGTTCCCTAGTCAGAAAGACCTGGATTCAAATCCTGGCTTGGCCACTGATTACAGGCAACATGACTGGATATGGATATTAACAATGAAATAACTTCCAAGAGTCAGTTGTAAGCAGTGAGATAATGCATATAGAATGTTCACAGCAATACCTGGCATACAGTATAGTTATTAAATATTAATGCTATTATTAACACTGTTTTGTATATTTTCTAGTTGTTTGACATATAATAGTATTATCTTCCTAGCTAAGTTATAAATTATATGACAGGACAATATTTTATATATATTTTTATATTCCTTCCGGTGTCTTACATATAGCTCATAGCAGACATTAAACAAATTTATGTTTCATCAATTGAGAAATGGCAAGAATGGTTACTTAACCAATTTGTGGTTTATAAAATCTTAGAACTGCTACTCTAATCAGATTCTAACAATGAGTCCCAAAATAGTTTGTCCAAAGATTTCTTTTCTATTTAGGAAATATTATTCTTTTTGGAAAGAAAACTAACCCAGCCTGAATCCTGTCCTCTTTGGAAATAGAAAGTTAAAAACAAATGAATATTATGTTAATGATTTCTGCAGCAGAGGAGAAGTGCTTGATTTTTCTGAAGTGATAAAGCAAAGACCCTAAAGGACATTAAAGGGTAGCAAGCCTTCTGTAGTCAGGGAAAACCAGAACGGTTCTTATTTTTCTACAACTGAAGTCAAACTTAGTTATCATTAGCTTTTTTCTTCTATGAAAGGAGACACAGACAATAACCAAAGAAGGAAACCCAGACTGATCTCAGAGCAAAGGTACTGAGATTAATCAACACTCACACTTGAATCCTTACACTAGGGATGAGATTTACTATAAATCTTCATTTTTGTGACAACATATCACTCTCCCCTTAATTCACTTTTTTTTTTTTAAGATTTTATTTGAGACAGAGCGAGCTCCTGCGAGCATGCACATGAGCATGGGAACATAGGGGAGGGGCAGAGGGAGAGGGAGAAGTAGACTCCCCGCTGAGCAGGGAGCCCTACCTGGGGTTCCATCCCAGGACTCCAGGATCATGATCTGAGCCGAAGGCAGACACTTAACCAACTGAGCCACCCAGGCACCCCCTTAATTCATTTTCTATTTAAGAGGTCTAAAATTCCTCTTCTGGACTAGCAAAGAACAGAAGATGGAAGGAGGATTTTATTTTTCATTTAATGTTTTTAAGAATGGTCTGAATTTTCTGAATTTATATATGTATTACTTTTACTTTAAAAATATTTTGGGGCTCCATTTGAACTCTAGGCTCTAATCCTTACACATTCCTTCAGGAACCTTACTTCTTTCCCTGATCTTGCTTCAATTACTCCTCACCCCCTTCTTTCACAGCTCAGGAAATTGATACACATTTGAGATAATGAAATAATCTCATTTCTTTTGGACAGTAAAGAAATATAAACTAAGTACCCTCACTCACATGACCCCCTCGCCTTCTGGTAAGATTATTCTGGGTGCTCTTTCATGAAAATAGGATTCGTATTATATTCAAATGAAGATAAAGAGGTATGCTTTAACATGAATATGTCAAAATTCATGAATTAAAAAATGAGTCCCCTTTTGGAAATTAACAAGTTCTTACTGAGTCTTTATGTAGCAAGCACGCCCTCTATTGGATAAGATTACTTTTTCTTTTTTATTCCTTTTATTTATTTCCCTTGTGAATGAGAAGGAAAGGCAATTATTTAATTATTTGCCTCTTGAAACATATAATGAAGACTGTGAACTTCACCATAAAGATTAATAGTATGCTTTGAACTCTAAAGCACAGCACACTCAGTTTTATACAGTATCTTTGCCTTTTTTTTTTTTAAGATTTTATTTATTTGAGAGAGAGAGAGAGCACATGAGAGGGGGGAGGGTCGGAGGGAGAAGCAGACTCCCTGCCGAGCAGGGAGCCCGATGCGGGACTCGATCCCGGAACTCCAGGATCATGATCTGAGCCGAAGGCAGTCGCTTAACCAACTGAGCCACCCAGGCGCCCCTGCCCTCCTTTTCTACCTACTCAACACAGAATGATTTGTTTTGAATGGTCAGTCTAAATAGCCTCTGGATGGCTAACAACCTCAAGAGAACTGGAACAGAACTGCTTTAGCCATTGTGTCTGTCAGCCATCTGCATTGGTCTCTATCACTAGAGATGGAATAAATGAAGGAACACAAATCATAAAAATGTAAAGGAATGGACCCTGCTTGTGCAGCACATTTGACACATAACTACGAAAGTGCTTGTGTGTGTAGATATGTGTACGCATGCATGTGTGTTTGATTATGAACAGGCTAGCAAACAATAAAAAGTTTATCAGCTCATACAGAGGAACTATTAGAGCTAATGTGGACCTAAATAAGGATTTGGTAGGTAGCTGATTATAAAATAAATAAAATCAAGAGTTTATAAAAGCAAGCGGTTAGAAAATGTAATAAAAAAATCTCATGCACAATAGCACAGAAATATATAGTTTTGAAGAAAACCACACAACTTTACTAAGGTAGAATATTAAGAAGGGTTGAATTAAAAAAAAAAGAAGGCTTGAATAAATGCAAAGACATACTATGGGATGGTAGTATTTTAAGAGTGCCAAACACTCCAGTTAAAATATAAATTTAACACAATTCCAATGGAAATTTCTAACAGATTTTTAAAAAAGAAAAATTAATCAGTCATTATGAAGAATTGTAGGAACAGCCAAGAAAAGTTTTATTTTGTTTAGAGACTGAAGAGTTAAACATAAATGTGAAGATGAGTTCTCCTTGTAATAACAAATAATATTTTATAATAAAATCTTTATTTTGCTGTTCAGCTTTAAGTTACTTTTTTTCACTTCTGCATCAATTAGTTTTTCATTTAGAGCTGCAATGTCCGAGGTCACTAGCCACATGTGGCTACACAGCATTGAAATATGGCCAGTCCAAATTGAGATGAGCTCTAAATGTAAAATCTACAACAGAGTTCAAAGATTTGGTACCCAAAAAAGTAAAGTATCTCATCATTAATTTTTTTCACTGGTTCCACATTATAACATTTTGAATTTATTCAGTACATAAAGTAGTTTACCAGAATTTCACCTGTTTTTTTTGACCTTCTTAATGTGACTACTCAAAAATTTTAAATTACACATGTGGCTCACATTATATTTCTACTGTTCTCAAATACACCAAATGAGATCTATCAAATGGGACAAAAATATTGCTCACATATACAAACTACTAAGTATGCAAAGTAAAAAGAACAAAACAGTGGTAATTCTCCAGTTTCTGAAAACAGCTGAAATGTACAACTGATTTAAGGGATGATGGAATCCGTAAACAGAAGCTAACAGGTTTCATCCTAGTCATACACAGAGTAGCCATTATATATTAATGGTTTCAACTGTTCAAAAGTAAACCCAGGTTCCTCAAAAAGATAAAACACAGAATTACCACATGATCCGGCTACTCCACTCTTAGATATACACTCAAAGGAACTGAAAGGAGGCACTTGAACAGATACTTATATGTCAGTGTTCACTCCAAAATTATTCACAAATAGCCGAAAGGTGGAAATCACCCAAATGTCCATCAACAGATGAATGGATATTCAAAATGTGGTGCATACATATAACGGAGTATTACTCAGCCAGAAAAAGGAAAGCAGCTCTGATATAGGCTACAACATGGATGAACCTTGAAAACACTATGCTATGTGAAATAAGCCTGACATAAAACAATGAATATTGTATTATTCCATTTATACGAAATCTAGAATAGGCAACTTCATAGACACAGAAAGCAGATTAGCAGAAAACAGATTACTTGAGGGGAAGGGGGAAGAGAGAGTTATGAAGAGATACAGGGTTTCTATATGGGTGATGAAAAAAGTTTGGGAAATACTGATGGTGCCACTGAAATGACCACTTAAATCAGTTAAAATAGCAAATTTTACATTATATGTTTTACTATAACTTAACAAAATTAATAACCCATTGAATTCTATGCCTTAAATGGTTATGGTATGTGTATTATCTCAAAAAGCTGTTAAAAAAAAGTAATCCCCAAACTGGTAACCCACATACACTCCTGCTACCTGTCTGACCTCGAGCAAGTGCCTACAACCCGTGCTGCCTCCTTTTCTCTTCCATCACAACACTATGTCATTAGGCTGCTATGAGGATTAAATGACCTAAAATTTGTAAACTACTATGCACTATGTAATTGCTTGTTAAATAAAACAGGCTCCAGAGTCATGTGGGAGAGTAAAAACAGACAAAAAAGGTAAACCCAAATGTTCATGACATCATTTCAAATTTTCAAAACTCATGAATGAATCTTGGAAAACTGCTACAGTCATGTGCAGAAAGCTATCCTGTAGCTCATTACCCACCAACCTCGTTTCAACTTACTTTGCTGTTCCCTACTCGTTGCCACATGCAGGGTAAGCCAGACTTCACTGTTTTCTGTAAATACATCTCCCAGCTCCCCAACTCTTGAAATTAGTGATGGCAATAAAAATTTTTTACAAGAGTTGGTACAAGTTTGGGTAAGCATATGGTTAAATAGGAGTTTTTTACTTTTTACTTTGCATACTGGTGATGAAATATAATGAGGATGAATTCTGAAAACTGCTTCAGTCATTTTAAAAATAGCTTTATCAATTATTTTAGCTCCGAATGTACGTGCTCATTAAGGTCTAATTTTAGTTTAAGACAATACCTGTGTTTAAAATCTTGGCTCAGCCCCTTACTCAGGAGTTCTGTGTCCCTGGGCTAGTTATCTTGTCCCCTTTGGTCTCAGTTATTCTATCAGTAAAATGGGGATGAGAACAATACTCACCAGAAAGAATTATTGCAGGATTCAATAAGCTAGTATTTGGAGACACTTAGAACAATGAGTTTAGTTTAGAGCTCAGTAAACATCAGCAATTATGATGAATGCAATTTTATGAAGAAAATGATATGCTACCAAGAGTAGTCTTTAATGTGAAGATTTTCAACAGTCCCCATATATATTCCTTAGAACACCGAAATGTTAACTTTGTGATTTTTAATAATCAGTGTCTTTCATACATTCAAGTAGCAGCCCAACAAGGATACAATCCAGTGAAACAGATTTGGCTAGTGACTGAATACTTCACAGAAGATACGTGTATCTGACCCATGGAATACCATTTCCCATACTACTGTCTGACTTAACATACCTAGCCAAACAAGAGAGCTTTCAGTATTTTCATCTAATGTTCCCTTAAAAGATAGTCTGATGAAAAAAAAAAAAAAGGCACATATTGTACCTTCCAGCTCGTTATGTATTTCATACCATACATATCTATACTTACTTTTACATAATTAAGTTTGAAAATGTGGCTGTATCTGGTTTCCTATAAGCTGGCCTTACAAATCATTACAATTCATTTTCTTTGATGACTAAAAAATTTTAGTTACTTACCAAATTTTCTCTTTCAATCCTTTGTTGTTCCCTTTGTCTGTTGAGGGCACTATGATATAACTTAGGGGGATGAACAATCGATCTTCTAGGAATCGTACTTTTGTTTCCTGATTTTTCAGCCTGTCTTGACAGTTCTTTCAAAAGCCTCTGATTTTCCCTATCAATCTGTCTCACTTCCTCTCTTGTGAAAGAGTAGTTTTTCCTTGGTGCTACCGAAGGCTGATCAAAGTGATGTTTTTGTGGTCCTTTTTTATCTAACTGCAGAAATGCTAAAGAAGTGAACAAGAAAAGGAAAAATGACTAAACAAGGAGCACGGCAACATGGTGGTGCATACTGATGCTTAACTCTTAAAAATGGAAACTATATTAATTCATGAAAAGGCATGTATGAAATAGTGTTAATGACATCCAGACTACAATTATGTAGAAAGAAATTCAGAGGCAGCTTAGAATTTTACTTTCTATTGGATTCTTTGGGAATAAAAGCTATACACTGAACTGTGAAAATATTTTAATAAGAAATATAAATGGTATGAGTTCTAAGACAGGTATATTTTATGGAAAATGCCCTTGTCATGTCCATTTTATGTTTCCGTAAGGCAGCTTCATAGTTAGGAAGGTTAGAAACCTCTGGTTGAGTGCATCAACACACAATACTTCAACTTAGACAGTTTTTGTTAATTGGAGGGCATACTTAAAATATAAAATGTTCTCAGCAATGACTGATGGAAACAAGGGTTAAAAACTGGCAAAAACAAATCCAGAATATTCTAAAACTTTCAACTTAATCTGAAAATACTTTATGGTCTTAATATTAACATTAAAACAAATATTTCTACAGTAAAAGTCAAACATTTTATTCCTAAGTAAACATAAGCCAAAATTAATACATCATATAAAAATTTAAAAAAATATTTTGCATACTACTTTTATCAAATGAAATTTTATTAACATGCTTAATTTTTAAATTTCCATAACAATTTTCAGTAAGTCACAATTACTAAACGTTTGTTAAAAGTTTTTTAAAATATTAAGCTTGCTGAATGCTTCAGCTTAACTCTGTACTAAAAATGAGTATATTATATCAGATTAACTGGAACATTTGTTTACAATATTTTTTTAAAGTAACTATTATTTGTTTTTACTTGAGTACCTTTAATTCTTTTACTTGCTCAGCATTTTACACTGTTAAAAGCAGAGGGCTATAAGGGGAAGAGACATTTTTAACCCCAATTTTAAAATGTGACTGGTGCAGAAAAGTCAGATCATTTGAACAAGGTCAAAAGAACTGGAAGTCTACCTCCCTATGTTTAAACCAAAGACTATCAAAGATTACAGAAACTTAAAAAAAAAAAAAAAGATAAAAACAGTGGCTTTCTGATAGGAAAAATGAGAGAATTAATGGTTGATAATTTGTTGAAAATCATGCCAAGTTAATGGCAAAACCTGAAGAACACATTTAGAAAGATACACGTACGCTGTACATAATTCAATTATCTTGCTTCCGAGAAATGCACATTTTGTAGACTTTAATAAGGTTTCTAGATTAATGTAGCCACATATGAAAGCCTTTAAAATTGAATTTTAAAGAGAATTAAAAGCTATTTTCCTAATGGCATTTAAAAAAAGTGTTTAGGGGCACCTGGGTGGCTCAGTGGGTTAAGAGTCTGCCTTCAGCTCAGGTCATGATCTCAGGGTCCTGGGATCGAGCCCCATGTTGGGCTCCCTGCTCTGCGGGGAGCCTGCTTCTCCCTCTCCTCCCCGCTCGTTCTCTTTTGCTATCTCTGTCACTGTCTCTCTCTCTCAAATAAATAAAATCTAAAAAATAAATAAAAAACAGAGTTTTTAGAAGTAAAATAAGGCAATAGCAAAAATATAAATAAAGGAAGTTCAATCTAATTCATTAAAAAAAATAGCACTCTAACTTTCCATGATGGAAAAAGTATATATGGAATACTACTTATATTTAGTAGTATATACTGATATCACATATCACTATTACATTTTTCTAAAGTGGTTATATGCTTTAGTATGAGGCAACCTCAAATACTTGGTCCATTATTTTTTCACTTGAGATCTAAAAAAATTTTTTAATGTGAATAAACTTTCAAGAATACAAACATATTTATATAAACATGTACATATATATTTAAACTCACATATTTAAGAAACATTGTTTTTTCCTAATTTTCTTTAATGAAACAATTTTGTCCAACTCTTTATAGTATTTCAATATCATGCCCATCATCACTAGATCCACTTACTGAGTCAGTCATCTAACACAAATCACTCACTAGAAGCATCAGCTTTACTTTCACCTAGGCTGACACACAGCATTTAAAAAATTTACATTATGCTATCATTGGAAATTTTATTCCAAACTATATTAAGTCCTTATTCATATATTAGTTCTTAAAAAAAAAAAAATCCATCCTGTAGGCATATTCATGATCCCTATAAAAAAACAACAACAAACCAATGGTATAAATTATTTTTTAAAGGTTTAAAGAAAAAAATCCAACACTTGTAGTTAAGAGGTCACAATTCAAGGAATAATCAAATTTACTAAATTTCTTTGTCTTCTTTATGAACAACTTGTCAGATGAGAAATTCTGGGACATTCTTCCTGTCCCCTTCCTTTGACTCTGGGCAGGCTTGTGACTGTGCGGACCAAAATGATACAGCCCAAAGTGTGACTTTCAAGGCCAGGCAAAGGAGGAGATGCAGTCCCCCACCACCCTCCCACCTTGTTTGCTGGAATATTTGTGCTTGGGGTCCTGAGTCACCCTCTTTGTCTGACTAGCCTGAGGCTGCCATGTTGTGAGGAAATCAAACCACATAAAGGGCCATGTGTAGGCATTATGATCCTAGTTTTCTGAGTCATCCTAGGTTGCTGCTTTACACATCTAAGTTTTGTGTTTTGTTATCAGAGCAATAGTAACTAATACAAAATCTGGTACCAGGCATTAGGGTACTACTGTAACAAAAACCTAAAATACATGGTACTAGCTTTGAGACTGGTGGCAGTAGGGAGCTGGAAGGGTCTGGAGGAGATGGTCAATGTAGAGGATGAAGTGGCAGAATTTTAGCGAAACTCTTGGCTGTGGTGACAAGGAAAATGGGGAAAATACCTGCCACTGGTGGATTTGGCTAAGTAGATTCCCATGAAGGATGCTGGAAGGATCAATGGTTTATTTTATCCAAAATAATGAAAGAGAGAGAGAAGCTAAAAAAAAAAAAAAAGGGAACTGATCAATTTTTAGTCAATAAGAGAGAGAATACAAAAGAACTAGGACTTAGGTGGCTCAAAAATTTATCTACTACTCCTTCCTAATCTCTCCTGGCAGAAGACTGTCCAAATACTCAAAGAGCTATGACTGAGGAACCATGAGTGAGGAGGTTTAGCTGCACTTGGACCAGATTTAGACTCTGGAAGGGTGAGGTGGGGCATGGTGGGGGAGTGGGATCTTTGGAAAGGGGGAATGTGTTTGTGCATCTGAAGGAAATGTAAATCAATGTGTGGCCACAGGCTGAAGGGGTTTTGAAACCTGTCCATAAACTTGACAGTCCTCCCATTAGGATGGAGGGTGTGTGTGTCCCTCCCTCTTAAACCTGGTAAGTAGTTTATAACCGTTTAATAGAATATGGGAGAAATGATGCTATGTGACTGGCATGGTCACATTCTGAGGCTAGGTCATAAAAGGTGATGAGGTTTTTGCCTTGTTTCCTTGAATACTGTACTTGGAGCCCTGAGTCACCATGTTAAGAAATCCAGCTGTATTGAGGCTGCCATATGTGAAGCCAGGACACATGGAGAGCCGCATGTGGGCCCTCTGCTCAGCAGTTCTGGTCTTTTAAGTCTCGCAATCCCAGACACCTGACATGTCAATAAACCAGCAGTAGAGGACTCCAGTCCCTACTGTCAAGTCACCCCCGCTTCTGAGTCTCTCCACACCCCAAGTGTTGGGATGATTTGTTTTGTAGTAATAGTAACTGGCATTTTATCACTTAAAAAAAAAATACTGTGTAACAGACAAAATACCTGTGGACCATGCTCAGCCCATACACAGGCAGCTAATTTTGGTGTGTATGATATAATTATCAGTCTTCCACAGTGATTATGGCTTTGCCCATTTCATGATCTAGTTCTGTTTTGCTTTTGATCACACATTTCAAATCAATGGCTGGTCAATAATTTTGGTAGATTTGGTCAGCTTATTAATGTAAAGCACTTCTTTGTCCCTTTCGTGCTTTTCCCATCTTGAATTCTATTTTGTAAACTATTAGGATCGATACTTCCATTTTTTCCTCTTTATTTTCATTCCCCTAGTATAGGAGTATAATAGTATAATTTAAAATGTCTTTATAGATTGGATTTAAATTCTTAAAGATGCTCTGATGGTATCTTCTGGTAAGTTAAAACCATCTACTTACACTGTTTGATCTCTTTCTACAATCTTCCTTTTTTAAAATGCTTTTTTGTGGGATGCCTGGGTGGCTCAGTTGCTAAGCGTCTGCCTTCGGCTCAGGTCATGATCCCAGGGTCCTGGGATAGAGCCGCATCGGGCTCCCTGCTCCGCGGGAAGCCTGCTTCTCCCTTTCCCACTCCCCCTGTTCCCTCTCTCGCTGTTGTCTCTGTCAAATAAATAAATAAAATCTTAGAAAAAATAAAAATAAAATGCTTTTTTATTTTTTCCCATTTTTACCCCTTCAGGAAGACTATGCTAATTTTTTTTTCCTCTAATACACTGCAAATGATATATTCTAATTCTGTCCTCCTAGATGTTCTTAAATTTCTTGGTCTCAGGACCCTCCAAAGAATGTTTATGTGAGTCACATTTATCAATATTTACCATGTTAGAAATAAAAAAAAAAAACTAAAGATATTAATTCATCTGAAAATAATAAACCAATATTAGGTTAACATCATTCTTTTATAAAAAAACAAAAAGAAGTTAGTGAGGAGAGTGGCAGAGTTTAACAATTTTGCAAATATTTTAATGCCTGGCTGAATAGAAGACAGCTGGATGCTCGTATCTGCTTCTGCATTCACTACAGCATGCTGTCATTGTAGTATAGCCCCTGGAAAATCCACTATGCACGTGTGACAGGAGAACGTAAAAGGCAAATCATGCCTTAGTGGTTTTTTTTGTTTGTTTTGTTTTTTTAAAGATTTTATTTATTTGAGAGCGAGAATGAGAGACAGCATGAGAGGGAGGAGGGTCAGAGGGAGAAGCAGGCTCCCTGCCGAGTAGGGAGCCCGATGCGG